GACTCCACGCCCACGAATTCGGATGCTTCCTCCAAGACATAGCGCAGAACGAAGAGCACCAAGCCTGCCTCCAAAATCAAAATGAGCCAATCCTCGGCTGTTCCTGTGCCCAAGGGCTGCAAGTGCCTCTGTAAGAGGACATCAATTTCATAGGTTTGTGTCCAATCACCAGCAGCTGCAACCTCAAATACAATCCGGTTCACTCCATAAAGGCCGAGGTTGAAATTGTAGATGGTGAATTCCAAAAAGATCGCGCGAGTCTTCTCACTGATGAAGCCATCCTGTTGCATCTGCAGGAATTTGTCGTGCGTGGTCGGGTAGTCTGGAGTAAACATCTCCATATAGCCTCCAGAGGGATAAGTGGCTAGGTAGCCTTCATGTCTCTCCATACTCAACCTCGGATTTGCTGAAAAGGGAGCATGAGAACCCCAAATTCAGCAATTACATAGAAACAAAAAAGAAAGTAACTAAGCAAACCCAGGCGTCTCACGGGAGAAATCATAGCTTGGAACCCCCTCTTCGTTGGGAGGCCCAAAGGACTCACGATCCATCGCATCAATGTCGAAGGCGCCGTAGCACGTGGGAAAATAGCTCCGGTATTGCTGCGCCACCTGCGGGAGCAACAGACGTCCGGCGGGGTTTTCTGTTCAACGTGGGAGTCCAACAGACGTTTTGTTCGGATGTTCTCGATCAAAACGAGTCAGTTACCATCGTCTTTCCATGTCTTTCTATACTCTTTAAAAGCGTGGACGCTTCTCCAAACAAGAGAAATGTATAGATATTATGATATGGTCAATACGTCACATGATCATACATGATCTCTCTCTCTCTCTCTTTAGAGGCCAAAAACCGGTTCCTGAGCTTCTACCGTTCTTTGACGCCCAGCGTCACAGCTGGTTGCCTCCACCGTCACCGGCCTCGGTCACCTCCGTGTCACCGGCCTCGGTTTGGCCTGGTGCCACCGTTCGGGTCCCACCCAAAAACGTGCTGGCGGACCAGTTGATGAACAACCCCCCCCCCGATAGATTCAAAGGATTCACTTCGGGTTCTGAAAATCGGGTTCTGGGTGCTCCGCTCCATCCCGAAGTCGACCGTGCCCTCGTCCACCCGCTCCATCCCGCTCGGGTCCGGACTCGGTCCGTCCGTCGTCCACGGGTGGTCCGCCTGGCACCCCGAGTCGGGCTGTACATTCAACACGCGCATCCGTCCCATGCCATAAAGGTAGTTGGGCCCCAGCACCTGAAGCCAGGTGGGAACCACCGCTCCGGGAAAGTAATATCTGGCCGTATCTGCACCATAGATGGCCGGCTGGAAGGATTCGTTGAAATACCTCCAGAAGCTATCCACTGAATGAACACTGTTCAGTCGAATGGGTGAGGCTTCATCGAAACGCTTCCGCAGGAAGCCTTCGAAGGCTCGCATCTTGTCACGTGGCTCGCTGAGGGCTAAGGAGGTGAAGAGCAGAAGGAAGCACACAAAAAGAATCGTGTTGAAAGCTGACCGGAGCAACGCCTGACCGGGACGACGACATAAATTAGTCGCTCAACGCAAGCGACGACGAGTGTTGCAACGAGCGGAACGCGCTCCGCAACGCAGCTGCGACCAAGTACTGGTCAATCCGGAAATTGGGGTCCCATGTGCCATCCAAAAGCCACGTGTAAAAGGAAGGAAGAGTTGATCCGAAAACACGTGGTGACCATGCACGAGCGCGTGGTCCACATCCTGTCGGTGAACCTCGGCGTTGAAAGGGACCTCACACCTTCGAATCGTCGAAATGGCTCAACTCAAGGGGTGACAACAAATGCCAAGACTGTAGTTTCAGATATCCTCAGATGAAGATGACACCAAGCTATGGAGAAGTCAGGTACGTTTACCACCTCAAGACGGTTCTTGTCATGATGCCATCTATACACAAACATGTGTTCAACAGGTACATTGACCCCTCGCCTTGATCCCGCTCTTCTGTTGTAAGAGTTCATTCACCCGTTTCTCATCCACAAGGATGGCGAGGCCCCCGGGGGCCGACATTGGTGAAAAGCACTTGCGACAGGCGCGCTGGTCAAGCTTCTTTCACGGCTAATATCAGGGTGGCCCCACTGTAGACGGCCACCAGGTTTGGTTTTCTTAGGTCTGCTAAGTCTGCTATGCTATGTTTCGTTGTGTTTTCTGTTGAGGGAGATTCGTCTATGGCCTGCTTGCCAGATGGGGCCATCCTGCATGCTATCCAAATCTTTGGCCAAAATGGCTACTGACGTCGGCCATGCGTGTTGTGACTGATCTACTTTTGGGACCGGCCAATCTATCAGGAGTCTTCGACCAACACTAATGCCTTTAGACTCTAGACTTAGACGTATATAGCCAGATTTTGAAATGCCCATGTTCTTTCACCCAAAAAGCCCCGATATTCGCAGAGAAGGACCAAGATTCTCCAGTGCTTTGCTTTTTGTTGCAGGATGATGAGTATTATCGTCATGGACCTTCCCTGCCCTAAAGATATTCAGCTCACCACCCCAAATCCTTTCGGTGCGCATGAAGCTCAGACCGCTCGCCTGATGCCCAGGAAAGCGGTGATCGCAGCCCGCGGGGAAGTGTCCACCGCCTCAAGGTGTGAAGGAACGGGTGGACGACCTGGACGACGTCGTCGGCCCCGAGCATCGCTCGCAGCCATCGCAGCCATCGAATTCTCATCGTCTGCGATGGCTGCGCAGCGGCCGAATTGGTTCGTCCTACACTCCCTAATATGATCCTACACGAACACAAAAGGCGACGAAAGAAAAAGAAAGAAACAAAGAAGAAAAAGACTCGTCGGACGGTTGGAGCACCCTGTGGGGGTCTTTCTTCTTTGCCCAGTGACTTCAACAAGTCTTGGAGGGCTCCCCTCATGTCGATCATAGAACCCTTGAGATGCTCTAAAAAGTAAGATAGCCTGACTAAGATCCATCTTCCTCGCTGATTCGTCCAATCGCTCGCCTTCCAGCTCGTCTCAGCTTTGCCGTCGCCAAGCGCGGTTGTTTCCAAGCCAAGGGAGTGCGCCCGATGACTCTGAAAATCTCACAGATCGTTTGAACGAAAAACAAGTCAAGACCTGGTGGATTTCACCAGGTTCAAAACGCCAAGCTCAAGTGCAAGGGATGTCCAGTCGACAAGGGAATCGCTTTGGTATTCTTCACTGGCCACCTATCCTTGAGTTGTCGGTACTAATTTCGAAGGGATGTCAGAAACCATCGTCGGCCCTGTCAGCCCCGTAGAAGTAGAAGCTCTCTGCAGCAAGACTGGCAAAAACTGAGAGAGTTCGTCCGGTCTTTGGAGCTATGAAGAGATGAACAGAGATAGTTTTTGCGCCTGTCTGAGTCACTCGAGAAGGTAACTGCATCGATGTTTAAGACGCTTCTCTCCCATTCTGCCGCCCTGGGCACTCCCATAGAGGGTGTCGTCCACGTCACTCACAATCTTCATGGGCGCCTGCGTTCGGGCCGAAGGAGCGGAGCAGAGCCGAGCGTCCGGGCCGCGGGCTTGGGCCGCGGATCGGAGCGGTGCAGGTGCCACCCACCCCGGTCCTAAAGGAGGTGGGTCGGGTGGGTCAGGTGGATCAGGCGCTGGTGGTGTCATGGACCCCCCTCCTTTTTTTGAGACGGTGGATGTGGGCGAGACCTTTGTGTCTCAGCATGAAATCCAAGCACCACCCCCCATCCCTTCTGTGGGGGTCACCCCCACCTGCCCCGGGTCGTACTGCTTGGCCAGATGGCGCCCCTCCTTCTGGATATGGCTCAGCGCCTTGGAATACCTGAACCGCGTGGCCGGTGAAGAAAGCACCCCGTGGCAGGCGAAGCACGCCCGTGCGACTGAGGTGAAGGGACGTCTCGGTGCAGCCAGAAATGCCAACGGCTAAAGAGGTGGGTTCAAGACTGACTATTCAGACATCTTGAGACGATCATTACCCTGCGAGTCAAGGACTATTTTAAACAAGTGGTCTTTAGGTGACCCCAAGGGGGAACTTTTTTTACTTCAGTGGAGCAAAATAATATAGTTTGTGGACTTCCAGGGACCATACAAAGAACTGTTCAAGAAGGCCAAAAGACCTGCTGCACAAACCTCGATTTGACACACGCTTCGTGAAAAAGGAACCTGTCATATGTTTTTGCATGGAGATGTTAGAAAGAAAGTTAAGAGAGAATATACATGAAAGTATATACCCATTTCTGCAGCGGCCTGGCCACTTGGCACTCACACCTGTGCCTCCAGGTCTCCAGACCCTTCTTGGGCCGCATGAGACCCTTGGGCCGTGCTACCCAGATGAATCCAGCGGGTCAGCTCTCTTCCTTCGCTCTCTCCGCCGATCGAGCGATCGCACCCCCCCCACGAACGTGCGATCGACGGAAGCGCGAAGGCGCGAAGAACGACTCTGAAGCAGCGGTGACCATGGCACATTTCAGGGTCCAGATCGTGGAAGACCAGCTTGTGTAGGTTGTAAAAGTCTCCACCCTCGTCCAGGATGTCTTTCATCCTCAGGATGAACCACTTGGTCGATGAACCCGTTGAACAGAACCCATGACGACCAGACTCTGGCGAGCTGTGACCAGGTCCTCTATCACGTTCCAGGTCGTGGCACCCAAGATCCAAAGGTGTCGATTTCATCCGATTTCGGTGTCCCGGTCGCTCCAGTCCGGGGAGCCACTTGCTGGTGCTTCAATCACTCTTGCCACTGTCCGACCATGTGCCTCCACGCAAAGACTCGGTCTAGGACCCTAGGGCTCCTTCTGCCGATCCGACACCCCGAGTATTTTGGGGGGGGTCCAGATCGATGCTCCCCATGGATCAACTCATCAATGACCGTTCTGTACAATGAGAATAAGGGGATGTGAGATGATGTATTCATGCGTCACAACCTCTTGCCTTCAAGACGAAGAACCAACGTCGGCGGTCCTTCCAAATCCGCCATGACTGTATGATGCTCCGCTTAGCTTGGCAACACCCGCACTCCGAAAAGGGCTCTCTTGACGTTCCCCACCAAAACTATAGTGGATTGCGAGTAGCTGGGCATGATCCCCAAAGTCGGTGGCTTTTAGGGACCCCCCATCTGTCGGATAGACTTGTTGGGGCAGTGGTGCCAGTGCCATACTTCACCCGGTTTCGGGCTCGTCGTTCGCCGGCCCGAGGGGCATCCGAAGCTCGTCCCCAACGGTGCTCTCCAGCAGCTCCACCACCAACTCCTGTTGGAGCCTCGGAAGCTGGGTAGATAGAGAGCGAAGACTGGGGGTAGAGCGAGGACTGGCAAGTGTAGTACCAGATCTCTGAGTCATCGAAAGGTGACTGTTCGGAACCCTTCGGAACCTCTTGTGAATAGTACAAGAAGATTCCAAAAGAGTCCCTGAGGCTTCTGGACCAAAACAAACAATACCAGTGCGTGGAGCCGGCCTCAGAGATTTGGTTCCTCACCCTCACCCGTTGTGTCTCCCACTCCTGTTGACCGGAAAGCCTCCGCCACCGCGCGCTGTCGCCCGGTTTGGGTCGTCTGTCGAGGCACCGGTTCACGTAGAAGTCGTGCTGCCGTTGGAGCGCATCCACCAGCCGCGTCTTGGTCACGGTGTCCATGTGCACCACGTGCTTCCGGAAGAGGTGGATGACCTGATCGCTACCTCGGTCGGGGTCGACGGCCGATCTCCCCGTTCAGCGCCGCTTGGCGCTTGGCGCTTGCTCGAGCCCGTGCGGAGCCTCCCACAAAGGAAAGGGAGGCGTCTCTCTGGAAGGACGTCTCTAGGAACCCTTCCGTGGCGGGCGACGCCCAACGCTTAATGTAACGTGGGAGTTTTCGAGCTCCAGAGCCTCCGCCGTGACGCGGCAGTGACTGGTCTAAGCGCTGGACTGGTCAAGGCTAAGAATTGAGGCAGGTCAACCTCTGAACAGTTCAGGACGTAGAGCAAATCGTCCGGAGGTGACCTTGGCTACCCCGGTGACCCGAAGGAGAGTGAGATCCGATCGTCGATAGCATGGCAAATCGAATCGAAACACCAATGCGTCGCTACGACACCGGCAAAATCTGATCACCCCCCTTTTCTTTCCCACACAACCTGAGAGCCTGTGACCGCACCTGCAGCTGTGAGGGTCCCCTTCCATGACTTCCTCTCGGCATCGGACCCGTGGGACCCGTGGGACCTGGACCTCGTCGTACACGGCGAAGTCGCCCGACGTCTGTGGGGTTGGATGAACGTTGGTTGACCTATATTTGGTCGCCTGGCGCCGGGCTGTGCCCGCCCCCTCGTGGCTCGACAGCAACGCTGTGGGAACCTCCTCTGCTCGGTCGAACGAAGCACTGGGAACCCCGGACGTACCATCCGAACCGTGACAGCAGGACTCCAGAGCTTGCAAGACCTCAGACCGAACGCATGGTGGCCCGCGTGGGACTGCTGGTTCGTTGGACCTGGGAGAGAAGAAGGTTAATCATCAAGAACGAACGGATGACTTGGCGACCGACAAGAATCTGAACACCAGCGCGTTTGTGTGAGTATATGAGATTTTGTTTGACCCACCCAATGTTGGTCGTCCAATGCTACTCATCCTCAGCTTCGGTTTTTTCCAGGATCGCGAGCTTACCCAATTCACTCTGACAAGCATGTTCATTTTCCACCATCTGTTTTTTCCCGACCTCGCCGAAGTTCTCCATCCCCGCAAAAAGGAGTACTAAAAGACAGGTTCACCAGCTGCCCAAAAAGTCCTCAAGCGTACGGACCACTCATGTGGCACTCATGTGGCATGTAGGGAAGTCAGACACATCAAGGGAGGTCACCTGGAGGTCTGTGGGCACTGACGTCGAACGAGCTCGTACGCCGCGGCGATCGGGCACTTCGTGGGACTCTTGACTCTTACATGTTCCGTTCTCTGAAAATGGACAAAAAGGTGTAAGGTGACTAAAGGAGACGTCGGACATGAAAGATATGGAATTCATTCCTGGCTCGTTCGTACTATGCGATCAAGCTGAGAGATGGTAGGTAGACGGCTAGTTTGAGACAGATGGGCCCCTAGGCCCCTTCACCGCTGTACACTCCTCTCTAAGCAAAGAGTTCCCAATCCCTGGAGAGCTTGGAACAGGATCTTCCCAGAAAGGGGGACCATCTGCGCATCCAAAAGCCGAGACGGTGGAGACGGTGGAGCAACACTTGTTCGAAGTAGCTTCACGTCTCATCTGGGGATGAAAAGGAGGCAAAGAGGTCTCTTCCAGCCACCGTGCCTCCTCTTCAAGCCAATGCATCTTGCCCATAGCCATCTCTCTAAGCTTTCCTCACCAGGCCCAACCCGAGCACACCGGTCAAAACGCCCCCCGCGAACTCCGGAAAAGCGAGTCCAGAAGGTATACGTAGTGGTTGTGGATCTGCCAGGAGTTTGGGAAGCACATGAAACAAGCTTCCAGTCACTGCTTGGGTGTTGCAAGTCGATCCAGATCGTGTGAGTCTCTTGGTCTTCAACCCCTCGGGCTGAAAGCCCACTTGCTTGGACTGTCCGACGTAAAACGAAGGTCCAGACCAATCAGAAAAACAGCTGAGGATTTTCGTAGTTTCCCAGCAGGGTTCCTTGTCCGCCTTTCTCTCGTCCTCATGATCACCCAGAATGCCCTGGCTAGCAGCTACCCGAGTCCCTTTCAACTGATGGACCAACAACTTCCCAGCGCTGGTTGCGCCAGGTTGAAAGAGTCAAAGTTGGATGCGGTGAACGCAGTTGGTGGGAAAATTGGCCATCCAATCAAGTCGCACGCCTTCTAAAATTCATATGGCTGCAGCTTTAAACATTCCATAAATGTTCCAGCCCAAACGAAACCAAACCCAAAGTGACCTTCCAAGTAATTCCCGCAGCTCCAGATGCCAACCACTAGAAAAGCACTCTTAGTGGAAAGCACCAAAAAATGCACTCAAAACCCCCAAGTCCAGAAGCCAAACCGTCCAAAACCGTCAACCTTGGAACTCTTTTGTTGCCGTCTCTCTGAAGACGTCCCGTTTCAGTGCGCCGGCAGAGGGGGGTCGGCCCGAGCGGCCCACCAGCCGTTGCAGCTGACCCGAAGAGGTACTCCGCTGGCTGATGAGATTCTGAATACCTGGGAGGTGCACCGGAGAGAGGTGCACCTGGCACGGTGAATACCTCCGGGCGGATAGGTCCGGTGTGTCTTTTTTGATTGACTCATAGACCCCCCATCGAAGCTCTGGAAAGACATCAATGGGGTCTGTGCCAAGTCTGTGCCATCGAACCTCTGAATATATCAATTAGATCCAGAGACGCGAAGAATTGGAGAGGTATGGCGATATTTCGGCTAAACTATATATACCAGGACCCTCTGGGAGGGAGTGTCCAATGACCGATCCTTAGCCTGGATCACCCTTAGCCTGTCAGATCTTTGTTGTTCCTGTTACCCGCGTGTGGATCATCTGCGGTTCCGAGTTCGGACTTGAAGCAGGCGTGCCCCTGGAATAGAAATGATCCAACAACACCAACCAGAGCAGCAGCAGCAGCAGCAGCAGCAGCAGTTGTTGCACCCGAAAAAGAAGGCAGTCGTACGTGAAGACAGTCAGTGCGTGAGTTTTCAGCAGAGGCCTGATGGGTCTTGTGTGAGCCACGAAGAAGTACTGTAGCCTCTAGTAACCTGTGTCCCTTGTTTCTGGTTCGCGCGCAATTGGAACTTGGAACTGATTGATCAGCAATGTTGACTCAAGGAGGAACTGTGGCCGTGATTTACTCGATCACAAAGAGCCAATGGTGGCCAAGCAAGAAGCTGTAGCATCGATCCGGATTTTTCCTACAAAAGAAACTCAAAAAGCGAAGTCCTCCTGATTATTACCCCTCTTTTAGATTCCAGAACAACAGCCACAGACTCAGAGTAGACCGCCGTGTTCGGTGCCGGAACCCGGAACCACCACTCTTCTTCCGTCCGTCTCACCATCACCTGCGCAAGGCACAATAGACGGTGAAACGCGAGGCGCCCGTCTCCACATGCTGCTTATCCACCAGCATCCGAAGGTCGAGCTCCTGCACTCACCGGCCGTTCCGCGGGCGGATCGATTCCACCGGCGCCGACCCGCGCCACAAGTGTCAGGTCCGAGAGTGGGGGAAACAATTCCACTGGTTCCAGGGACTCAAACCATTTTGGAAGCGCCCTTCCACCTGTCATGGATGCCACACAGGAGGGACAAATGAAACCAAGGAATTCGGACTAAAGGGAGCTTCCCATTTGACACAATTGATAAGACATCTGCGCCCCAATTCGTAAAACTGCTTCCACCCTACTTCGCTACCAACTACTTCGACCGAGGGCTTGAGGACAGAGGTGGGGTCAAAGGATCCTCCTGTGCCTTTACAGATCATTTGCGGATGGCTCACATGAGCTCAGCTAGCTCAAGCATTTCCCCCTCACCAACAGTGGATGATGGCTTCGATGAGGACGACGACCCCCGACCTAAGACGACGCAGGTGACTGATAAAGGATCCGATACCCCTTCAAGAAAAAGAAATTGTGATTTAGATAAGAAGGCTGACCAGTGACCGGCCTTAACAAATGCGACACCATCCTTGAGACTGTTGCAACACAGCTCCTGTCAGGCTGACTTTCGAATTTCACCCCTTTCCAAACCCCGGAATTCGGCGTTGGACCACCGAACGTGCCTGGATCGAGGATTGAAGCCGATCGTTCTGAGCCGTGGTATGGGCCCAAACCCCACAAAGGCTGAAGACACACGCCTCAGCGCCGGCTATTTTCATGGCTTCGCCTTTGGGGTTTCTGTTGTTCACCGACGAGAGGCGGAAGAGATTCGGAACGGGACCAGGGAACAATGCATCCCCAATTCGAGGCGTTTTGGATCGAATATGAACCATCCAAGAGCATCACAAGGTCATGGCTTGGGTTTTGACCTGTTCTTGTTTATGGCTTTGACATAGAACACCCCAGTTATCTTGAGACATCCAAATGAAAATAAAAACATCACCCCAAGGGTGACGGGTGTCATTTAGATGTTGTGGCTTTGGTTCCCCACACCAAGATGTCCTTGCTGACCAAGCCCGGCAACGCAAAACACCAAGCCGCCAGCCGAGTTGTCCACACATCACAGACAAACTAGACACCGAAAAGAGACCACAAAATGCATGATCACGGCTAGAGACATAAAAAGCACCAAGAAGAAACAGGAGCCAAAATTCCCGGAAGCCAAAAAGAACAATCAATCCACAAAGAACACCTGGTGTTTGTTCCCTCACCGGGTCACCTTTGCTAGATGGCCAAAACACCTATAGCTCCGTATAGCTCTTGACCTCTTCAAGGCTGCCGAATCCAATCCAACAATGAGGGGGGCTCTTCCATCCCACCTAAATCTTCCAAACAGTCCAAGTTGTCACCAAAGCCCATGCACACAGGAAAACTCCCCCCCCAGGTCCCAAGAAGAGAAAATCTGACATCAAATCTCGCGACCCTCACCTGTGCAGGGAACCAAATAGAAATAGAAATATAGAAGTATATTGAAAAACAAGAAGAAAACACGACCTTCCGACCTTCCGACCCATCATCATCCCCAACCCCCAACGGACTCCGCGGACTCCGCGCACGAAGAAAAGACGGCCACCCGACGGCCCGGTTGCCAAGCTGCGATGATCAAGTCAGCCAAAGATCCAAAGATCGACTTGAAGGCCCCAAGTTGAAGGATGGGTAAATCCTCAGGTGTTGGGGAGAATACTTTGTTGGGAGTCTTGGGCGGTGAGACTAAGATGATGTCTATAGATGAATGGATTTCAAGATGAGTTCAAAAGGAGTTCAATGGATTCAGAAACGGGATTTCCGGCCAACGGGGTCGAACGCACATGTGTTCGACATGCTTGGAGTTTGATCGTGGTGAGACACTGTCCAGAGAAGCCGGGGTTATCTCTAGCGATGTGGTGCTGGTCGATGCACATATCAAAACGTTCGACGCAGAAGAATGCCAAAGAGCCATCGTCCCCACCTCCTCTCGGCGGAGAACGCCTCCGGAGCGTCGCACCGTACTCTGTACTCCCTCAAAAATCCGCGGGACATCCGTGAGATCCCCCAAAAAGCGCATGAAGACGCGTCTAGGGCCGAGGAGCATGAAGTCCAATGAAAATAAATCCAAACCTTGGTGAAGTGAATCTTGAATTTCTCGGCTGCGGTCTCTGGTGGCTTCTTGGATTTCTGGTGAGAAAGACCTACGGCTCACGAAAACAAACGAACGCCATGCTTGATGCGTTCGCCATGCTTCTACTCTATTCTTCCCATCCAAGACTGTCCCTGAAAGAAGACCGACACGACCACGGTCGGCCAAGGAGGTCAGCCCCTCCGTCGCTCCTCCCTCACGGGCGCGGAACGTCTCAGGAGTCTGGTCCCACACTGAACAGACAAGAACATGAGCTAGTCTTCACACCGAATGGTTCCATCCACCCTCGGGCTGGCGTCCAAACCGGACGCTGAAGCCTGTATACATAGAGAGATAGTTGGACATGGTCCTTCTGTTTGCGTGTGGGAGTCTTCACTTCACAAGTCGGGGATGAGAACTTTGGAACACCAGCCATTCTTCAGAGGGCGGCCATCAGAAGGGCCCTTCAGCCTATCACTAGCTGATCCAGGGGCATCCAGGTGCCAAAGCCAATTCCGACCCTCAGGGTGAATCCTGTCCCAACCGGTCCCAGCTGCCAAGCATACATCAACGCCCAATAGACCATCTCTATGAGCTCGCGATGGAGAACCGAGCGCTCATTCGAATAGTAAAAAAACAGGGACATCCTCAGTCGATTCACCAAGACCGAAGAAGGCTTCCCAGCGCGAGTCGACCGATGAAGATATATGAAGATCCTTTGATTCGGAGCTCTTCTCTCCTCTGTCTGCGAAAGCCTCCAAAAAATCGCTGAAACAAGGCCCACGTCAGAAGCCACGTCTGCGCCAGCACGACTGGGGTGACCCGTTGGTGACCACGAACCACCGGTGACCCGTTTGCCCCGTTCAGAGCCAGCGTCCGAGACACCTCGGACGTAGGAGGTGGACCCTCTGATGTTGGGGGGGTCTGTACAGACGGGTCTTCACCACGACGACTTGCATGCGTGAACCTCCCCCTTCCCTGAACAGCGTTACATGGTGACAAGCTTGCAAATGGTTTTATATGTACTGTATATTGAAGGGTTTGACACCTCCAAATAGAACGTGTTCCAATAAAATGTGTCCTTACCAGGAATCCATTGTGTCCATCTGTGTGTGCAGTCACTATGAGCCGATGTTCTGATCAGTTGGTAGCTCCTCTGAGCCCCACCTAATCCCAAGAAAGCTTGCCCTAACAGGCTGAAGCATCTGATAGTTACATTTCAACCAAGCTGCACTCCCAGATTCACCTTCCAGTGAATGCCGGAAAGAAGCCCTCCGAGCGCGAGCAATTCCATCAGAAGCGACCACATTTTTCTGTACAGGCGGTCGGGCGGCACAGGGGCAGCTGTAGCGAGGGATGGTCAGGGGACCAAGTTGGTGGTTTTCGGTTCTCTCAGAGATGGGTTGGCTTGTGGTTTTCTTTTGTCTTAACAAAGGGACAAGTATGGAACAGTTTAACTGTTTTTGGGTTGGGAGGGGTGGCGGGGCTGAGGGCTAGTTCCAAGATCTTCCAAGCAAGTTGGTGATTCATGGCTCAGTGGGCGCATGCAATACAGGCCATCATTGAGAACGTGCCTTGTCCTGAGCCTGTTTTGATGCACCCACCGGTCATCCTGTTGCTCATGGGGTGACTTTGAGCCGAAAAGAGGCCGCTTTTGTCTCCCTCGGATCTCGGAACTCAACACCCCGTTCACACCTCGGATCTCCGGGCTCCGACCGCTCGGGTTCAGTCTTCGGGACTTCGGGTTCAGAAGTTTGACCAGCTGAGAAAGGTCGTTCACAGGCTCCGAAACTCTCGGTGCGGGGGCGGTCCGTTTGGCAGGGCGGTTTTGCGGCTCGCTGCAGGCAGCGCAGCGTGCTTCGCGCGGCCGAAACCGTGCGCAGCGTTTTCTGGAAAATGCGAGCGAGATATCGAAAAGCCACCCATGCCAAGAAAGCAATCTGAGAAGCCGTTTCGTGTTCCCCAAGGCAAGGGCCAATGTTGATTGGACATGGGCTGGCGGCAGCATCTGTCACATCTCCAAGTCCGGCTCAGAAGCGTAACTTGCTGCCCCCGGCTCCCCAAGGCTGGCTTTTCGCTGCCGACTTCGTGGCTGGTGGGGCAGGTGCACTCGCGGCTGGAATCTCACACTCGTTCCAATATTCCAAGATCTCCTTCGCGAGTTCCAGGAACAAGGACTGCCACAACAGGTATGATATGTTTCATCTTGTTTCATTATATGTCGATAGGCGCAAACACAAAAAAGAATGCGGATCGCATAGAATGGAAACATGACCCCTGTCCGTCGTTCTTTTTCGGGGAATCCAGACCCGGAAGACCTGTTCCGTTCGCGCGGGTATCGATCCAATCCTGGGGGCTGTACAGGTGCGTGTACTCTGCTTGTAGCTCCTTGGTTCGTAGCCGTCAAGGGATGATGCAAACCGACTCATCAACTGACGACGTCTGCTCCGCTCTCTTTTTCCTCGCAAAGACTGACAGAACCAACTCCCAACTGACAAAAAAGAAAAAATAAAAGCAACAACCAGCAGGAAAAAAAAGGTGCCAATAGGAAAAACACACACACCAACTCGGTCCGCGGACATGGGTTCTTACGGCTTGGACGGGTCATGCTTCTGCCCAAGCGACCCGAAAGGTCTTGGCTTTGCCATCCTCCAGATCGACGCGCTTCTCCTCCAACGAAGAAGGACGCTTCAATCTCTACCTCTCCCTCTCTGTCCCTGTCACCTTCTACCTGCTAGATAACTACCATCATTTTGCATGACACGCAGAAAACAGTCACAGCGACAGCCCTCTGGCCCATCGAAAAAGGCTGGGACTCCTCTGCACCCTTGTCGTAGTAACCTCCAGTCGCGCTTTCTTCGTCACCTCTGAGAGTTCGAGCAAGGTTTTGAATTGTTTGGGAGCCTTCTTGAACTCAAGACCGCAACGAATTTCCCAAGCTTCCCAGCCCCGACCCACCTCCAAAGCCTTGCTTTCGACCACTTCGTGCCGGTGCAGTGGCCACAGCTGCAGGTCTTGCCGTGGACGTCGCCGGTGCTCGTGCTGCGGAGGGCGCTGCCGTCGCGGCGCACGGGCGCGCCGCTGCGGGGCGAGCTGGAGGAAGATCTGGTTCTGGGTGGTCCACGTAGCTGAGAGCCTGGGAATGCAGTACAAAAGCATGTTCAAGTGCACCAGGAGCCCTGTTCGAGTATATACTTATTTGGTGATCAAACCGTATCAGATGTATCAGGTCTAACGCCACCTTTGTATCAGATGGAGTCGGTCACAAACGAAACATAGAAGTATTAATCTTCGTGGTAGACGCTAAAGGTCAACAAAGTGCTCATCAAGTTACAAAATTCAATGGTTTTGGGTTTCCTTGGGGTGCGGCACTTCCACAATCCATAGTCTATAGTCAAATCTTCTCCCACCCAAGTCTTGCTGTGAAATCACCTCCAGTAGGATTACCAGCAACTTCAAAAACAGAATCACTTCAGACAAAAGATCAAAAGATCAAAAAATAATGAAAGAAACATGAGAGTTGAGAGCTTCCAATGACCGTGAGTGGACCCGACAAAGTGCCAATCAGACAGACGAAAAGTGGAGACTCACACTTTGATGCACACAAAAAAGAATGTGTATATATATATATATATGTGATTCTGCTCACGCCTACAAAAATTATGTGCTGATGTATGTGTTGATGCATGTATATATTTTATCCTAAGGGTTCTTTGATGCATGGATGTATGTATGCATGTAGGTATGTATCTATCTATCTATCTATCTGTCTATCTATCTATATATCTATGTATATCTATGTATATCTATGTATATCTATGTATATCTATATATATCTATATATGTACGTACGTATGTATGTGTATGTATGTACGTACGTATGTATGTATGTATGTGTCTGTCTATCTATCTATCTATCTATCTATCTATGTATGTGTCTATGTATCTATGTATCTATAATGTATCTATGTATCTATGTGTGTGTGTCTGTATGTATGCATGCATGAATGTATGTAGTGTAGTGTAGTGTAGTGTAGTGTAGTGTAGTGTAGTGTAGTGTAGTGTAGTGTAGTGTAGTGTAGTGTAGTGTAGTGTAGTGTAGTGTAGTGT